TTTGTTATCTACTTAAATTTATTTATTAGTAACTAAAATGTTAAAATCAAAAACTTAAGTAATATGTAAATAAGTATATATATGAGTAGTAAATACTAAATTAAATAATATGTACTTTTGTTATCAGTAACTAGCTTTTTTTAATAATATTATTACTGCTCATATGCAAATTAAGATAAATAAAAGTTTTGAAATGATTATTCATCAAGAATATATTTTCAAGTAATTATTCACTCACGAATTTTTTCATTTTTAAAAACTATTTTTGCTTGATTTTTATTACAAAGTTTGTTGATATTTTAGTGTTTTTCTTAAGAAATAAAAATCTAAACATTAAGAACAAACTCTTTGCGATAATTTTTTTCATTACAAAATTTGAATATTTTCTCAAAGCTGATAATTAAAAATGACACATGTGGAATGAGTGAGCCTTTCATTTAACTTTAATATGCAAGTAATTACTTGCTAGCTACTTCATAATATCAAGGAAAAATTTCTTTAAAAATTCATTTTCATTTTTTTGCAACAAAAAAAAAGAATGTAAAATTTTTATTGCAATTACGGATTTGGCATAGTCGTTATATTTTAAAATTATTCAACTTATTTTATTGATATGAAATGCTTAAAAATGTTGCAGCAAAAATAAACTATTAAAATGTTTTGACATTTTTTTGTGCAATAAATACTATAAAAAATTTTAGTTTTTTTCAATTTTTGTAAATTTTTTAATTTTTGTAAAATTTGCATTTTTTGTGAAAAATTCAAATTTGGCAAAATTTTCAATTTTTGTAAAGTTTTTTACATATAATTTTTGTTATGTATTAATGTTCAAAACTTTGTAATAACTACATCTGTTTTCATACCTTTTTATTTAATTTGAAATGATCAATTTTAATGATATTGATAAAATAAAATTTTGTATTGAAAAATCTGGCCAACATCATAAAGGATATTTTTGTTAAAATTTTTATACTACTATAAAAAGCATATTTACTGTATTTGTTAATGATGCTCATTATAAATTTTACATATTGCGATTAAATTTACATTTATTACAACCTGTAGTTTAGGTCACTCTTTTTTTCACAACTAATTCAAAAATTTTTTTGGATTTACGTAGAAAATTGCTAACATATAATTTGAATTTAACTTGAAACTTTTACTAAATTTATTTTTATTCTACAATTTTTAATCTAAAAATTAATGTTATAAACAATTACTCTTGAAAAATATAATTATGAGAGACAGGCATTTTCATTCGTAATTTGTATTTTTCTTCATCCAAAAATAATTTTTTAAAAAGCAACTTGTTAAAGTTGTGATTGTATTCCACAAGCTAATTTTCCTTCCCATAACACTCATTTTATCTCCTTAAGTAACTTTATTTTTGCTTAATTTATAAAACTTTTTATGATAATTTTTTAAAAGTTTAAATAATTTATTCATATTTGTTCAACTTTTCTCTAAATTTTTCAATTGTTTAGTTTTATTTTTTGTTGAAAAAAGTTGAATCTAAGTGCTTAATACTCAATTAGTTAACACTTGGAATATGTTTTATCAAGCAAAACTTTTGACTAAACTAAACACAAAATATGCACTAAAAATGTTAAACAGCTTTATGCATATTTATTTATCTTTCACATTTCATCAGCTATTTTTAGTATATAATTACCAATTTTCATTATCCCAACTATTCTATTTTCAAAACTTGTCATTTATCCATTATTATAATATGGTAATTAAAAATAGAACTTTTTATTAAAATATTTTCTAATATTAAAATTGAGCAGTCAGTATTTGTTTTGTTTTGTTTTGTTTTTTTTTTTTGATAACTTTGTTAGTCTTAGAATTAATTTACATATAAAGCAAGAAGTTTAACTGAGACAAAACTTTATAATTATCATATTATTTTTCAGTAATTACTCAAATTATTATCACAATTATTTTTTAGTTTACATTTTATTTATACATATTCATCACTACAATTACTACCATACAATGCTAATCACAGATAAGATCGTTAATAAAGTCACTACATTCAGTTGTACTTGGCCCTAATTATTTTATTTTCATTCATTCTCTCACATTTTATAGTTTGAAACAAATTTTTTGGTGTAAATATTTATGGATCATTATAGAACTATTTTTAACTTAAAAATTGTAAAAATGATCAGAAAATTTTTACAATTTGAACTGATTTATTGATTTCATGATCTGTTAATATTGACACTAATATTTACACCAAAAATTGGGTATTTTAATTAAAAAACTTGCATTTAATAAAGAGCTTTAAAACTGATTGCGAAGACTTATTAGGAATACTGTACACTGCAAAGAAAATAAATATTAAAATTTGTGTAAAGATTTAAGTCTAAAACTTTTTTCAACTTTGTTTGCAAACTTTTGAAATAAAGAAAATAAAACAAATAATTTATTAATAAAAATTGCAACAATTTGGTAGAATTATGCTGTAATTATGATCACATTAAGCAGGCAATATAATATTATACTAATTTCAATTGACGCAATTACGCGTGAAAATGCAATAAACAAATGTTAATAACTTAGTGCAAAAATTAAAAAAGTATTTACCTCAATTTTTTTTAATCAAAGAATATTTATCCTAACTTGAAGTTTTAGTTATATTTAAGTATGCACATTGGAAAAAGTACACGTATGTTTTCAGCTATGATTAAATTATGTGTTCCGTATTTAAAAATCACTTATATCAGTAATATTTTTTTATACTGATAATTACATCAGTAGCAAATCAGTAGATGATAAAGTATCTGAAAATAACTTGATAATGCATCAGAATTTTGTCTCAAGAAAGTTTTTAGATCCTGTAGAACTAGAAATATCATTGCATTGAATTCATTTGAGACATAACAAAAATGCTTACATAGTTATTTTCTTTTGCTCTTTTGAAGCCAGCAGGCATTTTTTACTAATTCAGTTGTGTAATTGCTGAAAAAAACTTGGAATCTTTTTCAAAAACTTTCTCTGCATTGAGTTTCATTAGTATTTGTCAGGGATATAAAGAAAATTATTGTGAATTTTATTCCATTCTATTTCAATAATTTATTAATTCAACCAACAAATTTACTTTCAGCTTTATTCAAAATTAATTGGAAACTTATTACAAATTTTTTTTAACAAAAAAAGCAAATTTTGATTTTGATTTCCATTTCACATTGCATAATTTCCAATGATTTTTTAAACAATTCAATACAAAATTCATTATCTGTCAAAAATTATATATCAAAAATTAAAAATTAAAAAAATTAAAAATTCATTATATATCAAAAATTAAAAATTCATTATATATCAAAAACTTTCTTAGGCAGAAAAAGTATAATGTACTGTAAGTTTTTCAACCTTTTTATGCAGTTATGATTTTTCTCAAAAATTTGCAACAATATTTAATACCCTGTTGTTGTTTTGTTTGTTGTGTTTACTTCTACTAAAGCACAAAATTTTAAAAAAATTCTGTGATTAATTAATTAATCATTTTTTTCACTAATTATTTTAATTACTCAAAACTTTCTATCTGTTCTTGTAGAAATGACAAAGAATATTAATTTTGGATGAAATTGTAAATAATTAATCATTTTTTTCATTAATTATTTTAATAGAAATTCTAATTTTTTCAATATTTTATAATTCGTCAAATGCTTCAGAAATTTGTATATTCAGTACAAAAAATAAGATAAAAATGATTAATTATTTACAATTTCTAATTATAATTATAACTAACATTATTATCATTATCATCATTATCATTCTTACTTGATTTCAGTTTAAAAAAAGTAGGTTTTTGCATTTTTACATTGCAATGTCAGCACATTATTATTATACAAATGCGGTATCCAAATACTAATATATAGAAACAGCTGTTAAAGTCAAATATAAATTTTGTAGTAAATATAACAAAATTTCTCCAGCATGTTTTTATGCCATATAAAAGTTATTCACAAAACACTGAAACTAGTTAATATTATAAGCATTATTACTGAAATATATAAATAGCTGCTGAAACTGAAACTTAATTTTGTGATAAATGCAAAGTTTTTTGTAGTAAGTTCATATTTTGTGCATATTTTCTATAAGTTTTGATCAGTAAAAATAATTAATGTATATTTTTATAGTTTATGTAGTATAAGTTATTTATGCCATAACAAAGTGCTTTGTTTTACGCATAATTCTTTCAGCCATAAACGTAATAGCAAAATGCTTTTTGTATTTTGATAAAAAAACATTCATGAAAATTGTCTGTCTTAAGCATTTGCTTTTGAATGTTTTTATTGCTAAAATTTCAAAAAATGTTAATTTTTTATTTTTAAAATTTAAGCATACTACTAAATATATAAACATTTTTAAATAATTAGCAGTTTTGAAGATAAATTATTTTAGAGTCGATTTTAGTGAGTTAATATCATATCAGTTAATTAGCTCAAGCAAAATGGTTTGTTAACAACAAATAATTTCTGCATTACTTTACTTTCCCGTACTATTATTCTTGATTATAGTCATCAAGTATGCTTCTGTTCAATTTTTAGTAATATTTTTTTATCAAGTATAGTTTTTCAATTGAAATCAATTGGGAATTTTATTAATGCTATGAAAAAAGTAGAAATTAAAATTTAAAAAAAGTAGAACAAAATTTAAAAAAAAAAGCTTTAACTACCGGAAATATAAAATTACTTCATTTGCAATATTAAAATTACTTTAACAATTTCAATTAAATAAATAGTTTGTCACAAAAATTTATTTTAAAGAAGTTTAATTTATAGCATATGGGCCAATGCGATACATGACTATTTATAGTAATGGATGTGCACTATAAATGCCCAGAAAAAAAACGAAAAAATATTTTAGCATTGAAACAATCATTAAAATTGTTCATTTTTATTGTTATTATTATTATTATTATTATTGTTATTATTATTATTGATGCCTTGAAAAATAAAAACTTTGTATTTTAGGAAAACTGATAACATATGAAAAAAAGCAAATCAAAAAAGTTAACGTCTCAAAGTGTGAATACCACACGATTTCCTGCATTTGAAAGATTAAGTCGTGAAAGATCGAGTACAAGTACTGTAACATCATCCCAACATACTTTAGTATTGCTGGGAGCTTCGAGGGTAAAATTATTATAATTAATATCAAAATTATTGACTAAATAATCAATACGGTATTTACAAAAATAGCAATAACGTTTTGTATTTGCAAAATTTTTTTGGACGACTAAAATGGAAGAAAGATAAAAGATTTGTAGTATAAAAATTTATCACAATTCTTTGGTACTTTTAATGCAAAAGTTTGGTGTAGTTTGCAAGTTAAAATAGTTACTGTAAAGAGAATGAATATGAGTTGAGCGCTATTTACTACTTACTTTTACTTATTAAAAGGTAGGAAAGACTACCCTTGCAAGTCAGTTTTTATGGAACGAATTTATCAAGGAATATAGACCAACAGTGGAAGAATTTAACTGGATTGAATACATCAACGATGATGGCAACGAAAAACTTTTACAGGTCAGAACGGAATGATAAAATTATTTTTGCAAGATGATGATTTTTGTTGTAAAAACTTGAGCTTGACCTCAAAGTACAGTGCTCAAATTTTATTTGACCTATATAAATGATGCATTATAACCAATTATGAATGATAAAAATAATTTTGTGTAGGTAATTGATACTAGTGGATCGCATGATTTCTTGGCTATGAGGCATTTGTATGCAAAATTGGGTGATGTCTTTATTGTAAGTATTACACTGATATTTTATTAATCAACTTTTGATGTACAACAATTAGGTTTAATTGAATTATTCTTCCAAAATAAATGCTTGTTAATGTATTTTTCATCTTCATCTATGTATTAATAATTTGGTATTTTAAAATAGATTTAAATATATTTTTGTAAATATAAATTCGATGAAAAATATTTTGAAAAATTATATTTGAAAGAATGCCAAAACTGCTTTCACGAATATGACTGTTGCTTATTGTGGTTTGATCTAATTTTTGACTAAATTTCGGCTTAACTGCAAAAAAACTGAATAAACTTTGATTATTTGCCACTTAAAACAAAATATTAAATTGAATAATAGTTTAAAACAAGTAATGAATTCTTGATTAATTAATGAAGCTTATATTTAGGTGGTATTTGCTGCAGACGATCCCATATCATTTGACGAAGCTAAAGGTATTGTTCAGGAAATTCGAGAACGAAATAATAAGCGAGCACCAATATTTTTGGTAGCAAATAAAATTGACTTATATAATTCAGAAGAATTGTGGGCTTCAAAAGAATTCAGAACTTATGCTATCAAAAATAAGCTTCACTTTGCTGCTATTTCTGCTAAAAATACTGCTCAGGTTAATTAATTTTACCTTTGCTTCATTTTTGTTAATATTACTAATTAATTATATTTTTAATAGCCCCTAAATCAATATTCGAGTGAAAAATATTTTGAAAAATTTGAATATAATATTTTAGCTTAATGTAAAGTTTACTTTGTTTGTTAATACATTGACAAATAAATTTATAAATTATCAATTTCTAATGACTTTTAATTTAATCATTACTAGATTGAACAATGATATTTTTGATATTTACTCGAATTCCAATTTAATATTCAGTCAGTGAGTTGCAAACATAAGTTCATAACTTGTTTCCTAAACTCACTGAAGTGTTTTGGCGAAAAATGGCTTGGATGCAGAATTTTTTTCGTTTCCAAAATAGCTAAAAATTTTGTTTCAGATTTCTTCTACGCTAGCTGCTAATAATTTTTTGATTACTGCGGCCAAGTCTAAAAACAAATCTGACTTCAAGCTTAAATATTGTATTTAATAGTAATATAATATAATGATATATTATATTTGATTATATATTTTAGCTTACATTAAGTGAATCTGAAACATGTGATTAGCGACTGCTTACAGGTGACCGACACATTCCGGCGAGTTCTAGGAGAAATCGGTAATTTTCATCCATCAGAAATGAAAAAACGTCGTCAGTCAATGCCGAATGCTCGCAATAATGGTGGCGTGGAAGTAAATGATATCAAACGGTTAGCCCGCAGGCACGTTGTAGCAAGTAAAACTTCGTGTACGGTCACGTGAAATGTAGCATTGATGTATTTGAACAATTTGATCTGTACATCTTCATTAGCATAAAAAATTACTTTTTAAACATAACAAATTGCTGTAAATAAGTTATACATATTAATTTAGTAGTCACTGTTAAATATTCATAATGCTTTTTTCCTTCATGGTTACAGAATTAGTCGTTACAAAATTTATATTTTTCATTATGCGTAAACGATTTATAGACGCGTATCCATGTTTTGTTCTATAAAGCATTACGTTAAATTATACTTTACATTGTTAGCAGTCATATTTTATATTTTGTTATTTGAGTTAATTTAAAAAAAATAAACGATATGTAAACGATACAGATATGCCATCAACACTTAACGCGCCACTTATCAATTTATGATAAATTTAAATACAAAATTTGTTACATGCAACAATTTCACTAGCTAATTATAGCATTATAAAGTAAAGCATATTTTACGAGATGGAACTAATTTTTTTTTAAAAATTAGTTCCAAGTAATGAATTAATATTTGTACATGAAATCAAAATTTTATGTCAGAATCTTTGCATTCAATTATTATTGCAAAAAAAAATCGAAAATTGTGAATAAAACTTAATTAAGGCCTAATTTTTATCTTTTAAGTCAAAAGTAAACTTTGAAAAAATAAGAGCAGAAAATTAGTTAGCTAATTATACTGCTATAATATAAAAAATATTTTACAAAATGGAAAAATGCAAGAAAATTACGAAGATAATTTACTTTTATATTGTTCAACTACTTTTTTGAAGTACTTTTTGCTCAGAAATATTTTTGATAAATTGTATTAGTCACAAACAAGTACTTACCGAAGGTTTCTTTACAAGCAAACTGTACAAACAAACAGTCATATCAATCACAATGTTCGATTAGTACAAAAAAAAAATGTTCATGCTAAATGTCAAAAGTTAAAATAAGGTTAAAATAAGGCATATTTTAAATATATTTGTTCAATGCTATAAAAGTCTCAAATATATTTGTAGTACCCTATATTGTATCTTGCAACAGATACTGTAGGCTTACATTAGATGTGTGGTTTCATATTTGAATATTCTAGTACAGATAGGCAAATAATAGCTGTATCAGACTTAAACTTTAACAGTGTTATCAATATGAGATCAGATAACCCAAGTAATAACTTTTTAAAGTGAAAGTTAATAAGTGTAATTTATTAAAATAACTACAAATTATAATTTTGGCTTCTACAATCTTTTCAAGAATTGACAAATAAAGTCGAAATTATTGATAAAGCTTTTATTATGATCTTTTTGGAATTAACAAATTATAAAGCTATTTATTATATTTTTTTATTATCTTTCAAACATCTAAATATAAAATGAATGCATTAATGCACAGGTGTTTATATTTTTATGTCAGTGACCTTTGTGAAAACAAATTGGTACTAATACCAATCATAAACATGTCAAAAGGTCAAAGTGCGGAAGTGGTGAGTTCAAATTGCTATTCGATTGATTTGTTTCTGTAAATGGTAGTATTGTTGTGTCACGCATTGCACTACTTTTTTGAGATTTTTTGCATCTTTCACATTTATTCTAAATTTGGACGATTGAACAGGCAAGTCGGAGAGAAAAGAGTCTACCATTTATTATTTGCAGCAAAGAATTCAATTTTTGTTAAAATTTTCGCTCATTAAGGCAAACATTGTTAGCAATGACTATTTCTTATACGGGTAACTTTTGTCGCCTTCTCATTCGTTGGAAAGGAAGTTTATGGCGTTTAGTATGGAAAGAATTGCTCATTTTTCTTATCTTGTACTACTTTATTCGGCTATTTTACTATCACGTCTTACCACTTTTTGATCAAGACAATCCCGAAAAGTATAAGTAAGTTATTGCATATTAAGACAATCCTGAAAAGTATAACTAAGTTACTGTATGTTAAAACAATCCTGAAAAGTATAAGTAAGTTATTGTGTACTCTTATATCTTTCATAAAGTCATCTATTTATAATTAATTCCTTTCAAAAAAAAAAAAGAAAACTTTGTTTTGTTTTGATTAGATAGGTCAAAACTCATACAACTACACTTTCCTCTTTATAAATGACCCATATGATTCTAAGGATTAAAATTCATGCTCATAATTTAGAAATGAATTTGAACGAATCGCAATAATGTTTGATCAGTACACGAAGCTTATACCTTTAACCTTTTTGTTAGGCTTTTACGTATCCAATGTTGTTATCAGGTAAATATCAATCACTTTTTAATACTAATCTCTAACTTAATTTCTTGTTGATTAAAAAATTTTACTAATCAGCAGCGCATTCTTACAATTAATCGACGCTCACATAAAATATTTTATCTATTTCATATTCAAAAGTACTTAAACTGATCATGCAAATTATGCATCTAAATCATGATTATGTAAAAAGTATTTTATTGTTTGTTAAAATAATAATAATAATAATAATAATAATGGAATTACAGATGGTGGAAGCAGTTTGAATGTTTGCCTTGGCCAGAAGATCTGTTATCACTATTATGCATGATAATACCGAATAATGACGAAAAAAGTCAACTGCGAAGACATACTATAGCTCGATACGTAAACTTATCCGCTGCCCTTGTCTAGTCAGTACTTTATTTATTTATAATATATTTATTGTCAATAGTTGTTACATTATATATTATAAATTGTATGAAATAATTAATACTTTAGCCGTGAGATATCAAGTAAGATTCGACGTCGTTTTCCAGCCTTATCAGATTTGGTAGAAAGTGGACTTTTGACAGATTCTGAATTAAAATCACTAACTGAAACTGCGGTCTGTTTTATTTATAAAGCTTCTTAAATAATAAAAGCTGTTTATTTGTCTATTTATTGATATTTGTTGTTTACTTACTTAACATTATAGTAAGTATTACATGTTAATATACTAATTATGCTTAATATTTGTTTTTGTTTTTTAGCAAGAAATAAAAAATGTACGATGGATGACACCTCTTCATTGGGTACAACAAATAGTTACCGATGAAATCACCGATAACGCACCAAATGCAGCTCTCGTAAACCAATTTATTCAAGAATTAAAAACTTACCGAATAGCATTTCGTAAATTATTCTCGTATGATTGGATATGCGTACCACTGGTATACACCCAAGTAAGAATACTATATGATTTTAATACTTTTTATTATTAATAATAAAATTTTTATCAATAATAATTTTATTAGCAATAAGTTAGTTAGAGTGAATAATTTATTTACTAAAATAACTATTATTATTCTATAAAATGTATTACAAATTTATTTATTAATAATAACTATAAATACCAATGCATTTGGTTTTATAGGTAGCAGCATTAGCAACCTACGCACATTTTGGCTTTTGTCTACTAGGACGACAATATTTGGATCCATCAAAGAATTATAAAAATTATGAAGTAGATCTAATCATTCCAATATTTACAATCGTCCAATTTTTATTCTTTGTTGGTTGGTTTAAAGTAAGCGTTGAAGATTGATATTCTTCGTAATCACTTGTTAATTTTTGAGTTGGTTAAGATTACTGATATTAATATTGTTTATATCTAATGTGTGGTATTTATATAAATGGAAAATTATACGATTGCAAACATTACAGAAAATTATTCAAATTTAAGGTAGGTCAGGACCTTATGCGCCCTTTTGGTATGGATGATGATGATTTTGAACTTGATTACATCTTTGAACGTAATGTTACTACATCATTTGCTATTGTAGATCGACTTCAAATTCTTCATTATGGTTTGTTTCTAAATTAATAATTATTAAGATATTAACAACAACAAATAAGTATTGCAAGTAATAAATATTACTATGAATTACAGAGCCAATAACCAGAGACAAATTGTGGACTTTAGACAGTTCTGGAACAATTTCAATGCCACGAACTGGTGTGGCTGATCGGTATAAGCAACGTAAGCCTCTTAGGTACATTCCATCGTATAAAGCTGGTGAAAATCTCGATACGGAAGGTGGTTTAATGAAATGCATTGCGTGGAGGAAGAAATGGCACGGATATGAGTGAGTTGTCAACTAAAATACATCTATAAACCCGATCTAATGCTGCTAAATAATTAATTACATTTCTCCTAATATATTTGACTTGCAGTGTAATATCATGGTGAAATGGTCTTCTGGTATAATCTCAATACTTGTCAAAAGCGATCGACTACTCTTTCTTTATAGCGATAGTAAAGTTAACTTAAGAAATGTCATTGATGTGGCATAAATTCCGTTAAAACTTCATTTTGTACTCAATTCACAACCTATTAACGACATCAAAAACACCGTTTAGGTTTGAAATATGTTAGAATTCGAAATATCAAAGCTTTAGTAAAAGTCACTATACTTCCACAAAGTTGTTTTACAATGTCATTTTATTTGAAACCAAAGCAAAATTAAAGTTAAAATACCCGTAATTGAAACGACCATCACAAAGCAAAGGAAATAACCCTGACTTCAACAATAACCAAAAAAAACATATCATAAATAACGCACTGCACATTTACATTGAGGGCGCGCATGGAAAGACGAAATCTGCATCATTCTACATGTCTTAATCAAAAGAGCTTCTCGACTACATCCATAAATGTAAAACCTTATCTGCTCTATCCTTCATTACAGTTTTTTTTCCATATATGCTACAAATTATAAAATTTAGGAATTTTTGATAAGTGGCGCACATTCGGAAGTTTTTGCACCATAAACATCTGCCGCAGTTTTACGGGAATCAAATGAATCATTAGGGGACTTGGAGGAATTCGCCCCATCAGCAGTCAGTAATTTTTTCTGATCACCTTCCGATCTTTTCGATCGTTTCTGATCCTGAAAACATCCCCCATACAAGATGTTTGAAAACTAGATATGGAAGAAAGAATATATCCAAATTAGAGTGGTACTACTGATCACTGTGAACAACCTTATGAATCGGTAATCGTTTCACAGCACTCAAATTTGCATTTAGAACTGGAATCTTCTTATATTTCGTTTTTTTATTTTCTCCTGCTGTCAACCTGAATAGGTGATATTATATTTTGATTATAAATTATATTTTAATTACAAAAGAATAAGGGAGATAATTTACACCATTACACCTCTTTGTAATCCCTTGCAACGTTGAACCCGTTGACTCTTTGAAATTAAGAGCTGAAAGACGTTCTTGTTCATTATTCAATCTGAAAAAAACTTCTAAATATTTAAATGAAACTCACTGAACAAGCTTTAACGTTACTGAAAGTAAAAAAACAAACATTCTGACGATTTCTTTGATCAACGCACGAGTTTCTGTTAATTCCGCTTCTCCAAATGGCTAAAATATTATGAGGTTTAGAAAACATAAAAATAACATATCATTAATATATTGATTAGGAACAAAGAAATTTAAATTTGTATTGTTTTGAAATTTTATAATAACCTGATGTCTGTATCTGCAGTGTTCAGCTAGCGAACCTACTCGCTCGCACAAATGTTCTGATAATGAAGGTAAGGCTACTTGGCGAATTCGATATAAATATGCATACATTGATTCACCAGCTATACGACTTAAATCTCCATTTATGAACTCTAATTGTCGTTCTAAAATATATAACAATATAATGGCAAAACAACAAATTTTAAACACTCAGTAAATTGTACTCAAATGCAAGTTAAAATTTCTGTCTTTCATAACAACAATCTAAAATTTAGAAGGAAATTTTCTACTGCAGCTTCTATTTTAAAAAAATTCAGTACTATTCATCACTTCTACATATTTGCGTTTATAGTTCCTTCGATTAAATGAAAAACTCATCGATTTCTCGCAGCTCATCCATGGCAATCATTCTGCTGATATATGGTGCATTAGCATCTAAATATTTTTTATGCAGTTAGTTCTTTGAAATATTTGCTAAAAAAAATTTCGATACTACTCAAGACTTTTACAAGACATAATAATAAATCTAACAAATAAATGGTAACTTCTGGTCTAATTAAGACAGGTAATTTACGTTCTGCAATAGTTCCAATTTCGGTAAACTTGGGAGCACGCAAGAGATGGAACTGCCGAACAATTTCAATGCCTCGGTCAAGCTCTTCTTTTTTACGCTAAATATGAATTGTCTTTTATTTTCCTATCACATACATAAGATATATCACAATTATAATCTAATTATGTTACAAACAAAACTGCTCAACAGTTCCATCGCGAATACTTTTTGCAATTTCTGTGTTCAAACTTCATGTGCCTATCAAAAAAAATGAAAAATATTAACATCGAACCTTTGATAGACCTGCTCCAACAATAATATTGGCTTCGCGACGAACGCTATTGTCACGCATACGAAATATCTGTCGCTGTACAAATATTGCCAGAATTATGATGATCTGCAAGTGTATAAAACAATAAGATATCCTGTGATATAGGACCTTTTCAAATCAATAACGACTGTTGATAAAAATCAAAAATGGGAAAATTATGACAAAAATAAGTCTTTTGAGAAAACATTTAAAGAGTTGTTCATACCAGAAGGCCACCAGTAAATAAGAAAAGCACTGAGTAACCGTCAACGATCATCCGTGTTTATTTCATACCCCTGTTTGCTGCAATAAGAAATACTGATTATGTGCATGACAAAACATAACTAATACAAATCAAGTACCGAATTTTCGCTTTTATGGTAACTAGACGATTTATATCACATTTGAATCAATAGTAAGTCGATTTAAAATTTAAAAAGTGCTTCAAGTTTCTGCTTCAATTATTTGGCTACTAGTACTGTGCAGCTGGCTTTATTTAATTACTATTATAATTATAAATGATCCTAACAATTTATATATTATGGCTGCTATAGTATCAAATAACTTCTTTTATAATATGCTGTTGATAAATATAAATTCATTAACGAAAGTTTAATTTTCCACGTAAAAGTAACTAATAATCAGTGATCAGAGCGATAATGTGAAATGCGTCAAAACAAACGTTATAAATTGCAATTTTAAAAAACAGAAAAACGATGATAAAAATATTGTTGAACGACCGAAGAGTTAATCATACAACATAAAAATGTTTGTAAGTTATTTTTCTTTCAACAAGACTGAAACAGTACTATTGCATTGTGAGGTCTAAAGACCCTGGATAAGTAAATAAGGCCGCAAAAAATCTGCACTTGACACCACAATAAAAAGTCTTATATCATCAAAAATTGCTTCTTGTAACACTTTTCAAATAAAAATAGGATCGAAAAGCAACTAGCTGAAGAAAATCGTTAGTTGCAGGTAATTTGCAGAGAAAACAATCATAACGAGTCCACGTAATATTCTAATTTTATTAAAATATAAACGGCATCAACAACCACTTTTTATGCTTCTCTACAGATGAGCAAATATGATTACAGAGAATGAGTCAGCTAAAATAAAAGTAGTTTAGACGTGAAGTTATAAAGCATACAGGATGATCAGTTAATCAATAATTAACTAGTAATAAATAACAAATAGTGATACACATAATAGTATTGCTAAGAGAAAAACAAGTATAAAAACAGTTGATTGAAGCATATATTCTTGAAAACAGAAAAACTGACAGACAGAGAAGCACAACAAAGTAATTATATAACATAAGATTGTTTGTAAGTTGTTTTTCTGTCGGCAAGACTGAAACAGTATTATTGCATTGTGAGGTCTAAAGACCCTGGATAGGTAAACAAGGCCGCAAAAAAATGGTCTCACGGCATAACAGATGAAAATTTTGTTGTGATATATTGGCAAGTATAGATAAGTTGTTATAAACTTTGCGAATAAGTAGTATGGCTGTCTACGCTTTCATAATTTCGAGTATTACAATTTTACCAAGTTCTTATTCCTAGTATGCGTGGTTTTCATTAATTTATAACTTTTGTATGAGAAGATTTAGGCCAAAGTGTGAGAAAGAGATCACTCTTTTTGAATGCGAAAACATCATATTGCTTAATTTTTTTTCTAACTGTGCTTATCGATAATATCTTATTTAATTGATTTCAAACTTGGTATTTAAATATAAAGTACTAAATCAAACTTTTACAGGCTTAAAAGATGAGTGAATCTGATTTGCCTGCTCCTGAGGAAACAGAAGAACGTGAAGTTGACTCAGAAACGGCAAAAAATAGCAACAAAAATGAAAGAATAGAAGAAACTAAAGAAAGTAAGTGCGCAGCATTGTAATCATGTTTTAGCGCGTTTGTGCGTATGTATGTCAGGAATGCAAACTATTACTACTAGGGACGAAATTTGTTTGTAGAATGTTGAGTACAAATTATGGGACAAACGTGTCTCATTTTCATGATTATTCTTATCATTCAGCTCCGGAGGATGCTGAAGAAATAGACCATGTATGTGTATGTGCTACGGAAGACGAGAATTGCATACCACTCGAGCTGCCTCTTGCGTCTGACGGTACTTTACCCTGCTCCACATTATCGCATTCGTTCCCGAAAGCAGTCGGACTGAAATATAAGAATCCTGCCACTGGTTTATTTCGTAGTTTACCGTAAGTAATTGCATGGTTTTAGAGACTTACCGCCTGATTGATTTGGAAATTTTTGTGATTCTTGGCAGGAGTATAGGTAGACAGGACAGAATATCTTAGTACATTTGGATCATTCATTATTGGCAGTTTTTCTTTAGAGTTGACGAAGAAAAAAGATGCGTGTCAGCACCTAAAGGAGGATGGAAGGTTCATCGCTATGTAGCAATTATCGATGACTGTAAGTTTTGTGTAAATTAATAATGTACATGGTAAGATTTGTATGTGTTCAATATGCAGTACCAGTTCAGTGCGGTTTCAATTTCTGTTCCATCTCACATATTGACGCTTTAATTGTGCTGTTGACACGTTCAGCTGGATGTTTTAGCGTTACCACCAAGTGATAGACTGGAAGGACAGTCTGGACAGACTGATCGATTAAACATGCCCGTTGATCTATTCGTCCGCAATCTGTCATTCAAAACTACTGAGGAACAGCTCAAAAAATTTTTCGAACAATATGGTGAAGTGCAGTATGCTGAGGTTCTATTCTTGAATTTACATATCAGCAAAAATTATTGATTACTTTTTGCTAGATTATCCTACTTTTTTCTCGTTATATTGTGGGACTGATTGTTTCTACAGCATGTGATTGATTTGCCGAGAAAATATCCATTATCAACTTGAACTAAAGATCAGTGCGTCTTATTTCGAGCTTAATAATTAATGATTATAATGTAGGAATCATGTATCTAACGTGTTGCGGTAGAGTATTGCACTTTCCGTCGTAAAATTGATGGATATAAAGGTGAAGTTGAGGTTAATGTGGATTGCTATAGTGATCAATAACTGTTAAATGTTCATGATTATTTTCAGGTGAAGAAAGATTACAGAACAGGTTTACCGAGAGGTTACGGTTTTATAAAGATGAAAACTTTGGAGGACCAAGATAAGGTGCTAAGAGAAGGTGATTTCTACATTGATGGTCGCATGGCTCAGGTCAGTTCCAATTTTCCTTGTCTTTTTTTTTCGATTATTTCCATTTTTGTATGGTTATTGTATAAATTGTTTTAGGTTAAATATCCAGAGCACAGTCAAGATGGTAGTGATCAGGATGATCGAATTACGACAAAAATATATGTCGGTAGAGTATATGCTGAAATTACTGAAAATGATCTTCACCAGTTATTTGACGAAGAGGCAAAAAAAATATCACCACTCGCTAAGGTATCATCATCAGAATGTTTGAAAATTATACTTTCACTTTCTTTTGCTGTAGTCTAGTTATGAAATGGAAAAATATGTGAATATTTGCCTGGAAGTTATCAGTTAGCGATGGAGAAAAACCGGTCATTGTTTAACTGCTCATTTCGAACCTATAGTCAACATATTTTGGCTTGTGCGGTGTAACAAATTTTAAATTGCAGGTTGAGCGAGTATTTCTTCCCAAGCCGTGTCGTGGCTTTGCGTATGTTTCGCTTAATGATCCAAAAGTAGTGAAACGACTTTGTCAAATTCGTGACTTTGTTTGTGCTGGAAAAAGTATATATGTCAGTATACCTCGTCCTAAGAAACAAGAATCTGAACCGGTTCGATACTCTGCAGTAAGAGAATATCGTTCGCACCCATATCGATCTTCTTATGGTCGATGGGATGATGAACCTATGGCCCGTAAAGGTTACTATAATGATGATCCTTATGCTGGTCGAACACGAAGTTTGTTTGATGATTTTCCATCTTCTGGTGGATATGGAAGCCGCTCTGCGGATCTTTATGGTGGAGGAGGTTACACAGGGAGCAGTAATTACGGATCCAGTAGTTCATCGAGAAGTTGGCGATAAGGATGAAACTTTTGTGCCACGTTTGGTGAACACGTCTCGATTTCAGAAACTTTCCCTTTTGTTAATTTGATCTATTTGTCACTGTACTCTTAATTTCTTTTACATGAAGACGATATTGGAAATTGATTATATGATTGCTTTATTCAAAATAGATGTGGACAAAGAATAAAAATTGCTCACAAGAAGAAGCATAGATTAATCATAAAGGATCAGAAAAACTGGTATCTAATTGCAAATGTCTTTTTATGGAAACCAAAAATGCAAGAAATAAACGAACGCTAAGAAGGCTTTTTATCATGCTGCGGATATTGGTCCTTACCTACCCTTTATCAATTTATACAGGTTGAGCTTCTCGATCTTCAAGGAATGAATCATTTGGAAGGAACAGTGAACTCGTTATTAATACGAATATAGGTTATTTCTCGTCAGGCATCTTATGGTCATGGTAGTTTGTATAGCTCACGAAAAATGAAGGTTTCTGAGAGCAGAATATTTAAGAAATTGCAAAGTAGAGCAAAGAATGCAATGATTTAAGAACAAATATTCACAAGGATGGAGGCTGTTTGTGCAATGTTTCAGGACGAGTCGTCTGAATGCAGTGAGTGATGTGCTCTTTGGTGACGTTGTCGTTTGAGTGGTGGTGATCCTTCGCCAAATACTGCTTTTTCCATTACATCCGTCACGAGATGCGGATTTGTCTCTTTAAGGAGTCGCCAAGCTTTCGATGAAAACACCGAACTGTTAGTGCGTAGCTGTAACTGTTAAAAGTGAGTGGATGATTAGTCATGCATGTGACGCCAACTGGTGGAGAAATTTGTCGACAATAAGAAAGTATTATGAAATGTCGCCATCAAAATGTCAAGGTGTAGAGTGAACGAGCTGCTCCCATTTCATGATAGTAGAAACTACATGAGCAAAAGGGAAGAGTACACATGTAGTGATTTAAAAAATCACTTGACCCGAGAATCTTTAGACAGGTTCATGCTATAGGGCATGTTTCGTACATCTTGGAATTATTGTATTTATGCAAAGATTTTTGTAAACTAACCAGGTCAATTACGGCTTTTCGAAGTATCTTGCAGTTATAAAGATCAGCCAAATAAAGCATCTCTCCAAAGTTGCATTTATCGATTTGAGCACAAAGCTTTCGTTCACATATTTGCTTAAGATCATCAATCTGGTATCTCTCTGCAAGCGTTAGTACACTCGCTAAGTCGGCATCCATATCCATATCATCCATCTCTCCTGTGTACATATAACGCAACATACATCTGAAATATCCACGGAACAATTTAAAATATTTCTATGATCTAAAAATCGTTCGAAGTGTCTAATAGACTCGCACTATGTAACGACAAAATGCCTCAAAATGGCGTCTATATACTGATATCAGTACAGAAGACTTCAATTTGCAAGCTTATAAGTTGCTCACAATAAGTAAGAAGAAGATTAAATACCTAACAGCTTCATATTCGGCATCTTCGATCACAACTCTTCTTTCAGTACTTTCTACTAGTTGATCATATGAAAACATTGCTTTGAATACCTAAAAATTACCAGAAGAGAAGACAAAACGTGCATGTAGTTTTGTTTTATCAGTATCTGATTACAAATTGACTGATAAGCTAACTGTTAACTACAACAGTGACGCACTTCAGAATGGGCTGACAGAACGAATTTGTTGACTGGAATTTGTTTACCAGAACATTCCAAAACGCAATCAGCCATAAAACCATTATCAAATGCCGCTAACTGTCGTTGAATAAAGTCACCATTTACCTAAACCAAAAAACTTGCCAGAACATTTGTTGATTAGTAAAATCAATGAAGTAACAAAATAGAACAATATACCGTCCGTGTATTAGTATGTAACAGTTTCCACGAATTATAACAATGAGTGCGACTGATGTCCGGCAACAATTCAATGTGACAAGATATAACTAATGAACCATCATCTCTTACGCAATTCAAAATCTAAATATTTGAGAAATCAGCTGATAGATTGTTTTAAAAAGATTAAATAACTTAAAGAAAATATGTTACAAGAATCATGGTTGCTGAAATGACTTGCAGTTTTGAGACATTCACAAAAAAGTTTTTCATTTCTTAGACGAATGAATGAACCTTTTGTTTTGGAATATTACGCAGACCCCAAGAATGACCGCCTTTTGGCGGTTTCGCATGGAATTCGCCAACATTGACATTGCTAAACAGCGCAACTTCTTTGTCATTGAGAAAATGAAATCGATATTCTACTTTAATGCGTACCTTGAAGAAATGTAACATTCAAACCCAGTTTCTCATTCAAAGACTGGTAAACAATGAAAGAGAATAAAAATTAGCAAACTTTCGTCTCCAAAAAAAATTAAAATTTGAATTCAGTCCAGGTAAAAATTTTCTTAATCTAGTATGCAGCATTTTTAACGTGGAAATTAATATCATCTCTTACTTTACCATAATATTTACCTCTTTAGTTGGTGATGTGGACGACATTTTTAAAAACAACGAAACATTATTTGCATTTTCTGCCCGTTTTCCTCCAGGATATAAACATAGTTGCCAGTAAGCTTCTGGAAGTTGAGGATGGCGAAATAATCCAGTTCGCAAACAGTTTCCCGGCAAAGCAAGTTTCACCAGAGTAGCAAAGTTTTCAATCTGAAGGAACAACTATTTATCACCACCTTGAAACAGATTGCCAATTCAACTTATTAAACCACTATTAACTTTTCTTATTTTCATTCTTCTCACCAATAACTATTAGTTTCACATTTAACAGTAAAAGTAGTCAAAAATTGAAATGATGTCCAGGTCTCCCTTCAATGATTAAATGATTACAAAATTTGTTTTTTCAGAGTCATATTAATTAAATACTTATTATGGCTCTAAATCTAAAGTCAAAATCGATGTTACATCACCTCTTACTGAATTTAAATCATGAAAGATAAATTCAACAAGGAGTGATGCAACATTTGAACAAAAATATAGTCCGCTTTTAAACTGATTCAATTTGAACTCAAAAAAAAGAAAAATTTTTGAACTCGACAAAAATATAGTCTCAGCAAAACTCACTGATTAAGAAACTAGCAGTAGTTTGTAATAAATTAAAGTGTGCAACTACGAATTATACAATATAAAAACCAATCAAAACTTTGGTTTCAGTTCATAATTTTGTACCAAAATGCCTTTGCAACTTCTCATTTCTTAAATTCGAGCATCCAACACAGGTATCACAAACTTTAAGTTTTCTGGCTTATCCTTTGCTTTATTTTTTAGCACATAAAATTTGCTTATTACTAATTTTTTTTTTTACTTTTATTTTCACTTATTTCATTCTTTTGTTTTTACTTTGCACAAACTATACATTTCTTTTACCTTCCATTGTTGGCTGAGATGTAATGCATCCACTGGAGTAACATAAGAATTCTTTGTATATGTACTCGGCAAAGTATCGCACGCGAATTTTTCTATTCGATTCATATTTTACGCCTGAAAACGTAATTATAAATGATTTTGATAAATTGATAAAAACCCAAATTATAACTTGCTAAAACGCACAACAAAATGTGAATAAATTAAATTATTTTTAAAAGAATTATAAAATAAACAAACGAGTGAAAGTATGTACAGAAATAGATATTAAAATAAAAAAATGCAAGACGAAGAAAATTCAAACTTAGCTAAATGATAAGGAGATTTACTTAGATAAGTAATATAACCTAATTATAAAGTTAGCTATAATAAACAAAAAAATTATTTAAAAAATAAAACAAAACATAGTGAGATGCAAAAATAAATGATTTGAAGATAAAAGAATACAAATGATAAAAAATATAATTCCTTGTTAATTACTCATTGTGTCATTATGTGAAATAAACACTTAAAATTGATGTAATCTGAAAAAGAGATTAAGATAGAAAATCAGAACGAATGCGAAATAATTTTTACGAATTCTAACTTTTTAAATTAGGTCAAACCGATCATTAATGTAATGCTCTAAATTTTGAGACCGCAAATAAACTAACACTACACAAATACAACGTGTTTTACGAGCATATGTATACCATTTTTCAGCTCCAAAATATTCGTCAGGTCGTAAGAATCAGAAAACATGAAGTGTTAACGAATTGGAAGACATGTTTGAGGGGTAAATACAAAAGTGATACTGTGTGTAACTTTTCAGAAACTAATAAATTTTGCTAAATTGACTGCTACTACTAAATTCAAAAATAAAAATATTTAGAGACTGGTACTTTTTTAATATCTAAAATTGGTAATTATTTTATAAAACTACACTTTAAAATTAAGCACGTCTTTATTTTTTGTAAATTGTTTGTAATAATTGCCAAGTTGTAAAGTCGCAACCGTTGAATACTGAGAATGAAGGGAGAATAGTAGTGAACAGCGAAAAACAGAATAGGTGCAGTGGAAGTATAATAGAATATTTTGCTCATCTTAACTTTGGATGGAAGTATTGACATAGAATTTACCTGACATGAGATTTGTGTAGTAATGCCTCAGAATGATTGGTTTAAGTAATGGTTTCCAAAATTAGTCTTAGTGATAAGATAAATGTCTCAGTAATTATTAATTGATTTGCAGTGAGTTTACTAAATTTGTTGATGATTAATTTGAAGCAATTAATTATCGAATATGAAAAAGCTTAGATACAATCACGGAGCAATTGATTTTTAAAGAAAGGTGTAACAAGTCTGAGGTGGTAGTAATTTTGTTATCCTATTGGATTACATGAATTATAAATATAATTATAGTTTTTACTCTTCACTGAACCTTTTTTGTGCTAATTGTGGATTTTTAGAATATAATCTTGAAAATTTATAAGATTCTTACTCAAAATTTTGATATCGTTATTATTTTACATATTGTCATTACCGTTAAGGTATTATGAGTACTTGACGTCTTCGTTGTTTTACGTGTCATCTTTACCATTATCAATCTTATTTTGACAGTGATAGTAATTTTCTGTGATACGAAGTGCTATTTCAGAACTGAATGGGTGATGAAAAATTGATTACAAGTATACGGAGCCAGTTAAATCGTCTTATGTTGCAGTTGGCTGAAATTGAGCTTGAAAAGTAATTTTTCTGAAAACTTGTTAAATTTTTTGCAGAAGATTTTGATCAGTGAGTAGAAACAAAGTAGTATAATTTGTTTGATGGTAAAATTTTCTTAAATTTAATTTCATCTTTGTTTATATTCATTGTCGGATCTTTTTTTTACTTGTTATTGATTTATTCTCAATAATTATATTGTAGCTGTATAAATGTTAATACGTGATCATTTTGATGTATGATATTTGTAGAGAATCTTTGGATGAACAGGAGTACTTAGAAATCAAAAATGATTCATTGGAGCAACTGAAGGTATTATGAATGAAAATGACTTCACATCACTTTTTTAATACATCTTATACATCTGCTTTTTTTGTTGATTGGGTCATATAGAGATATTTTTTTAAACTTTAGATTCGATAAACTATTTATCAGGAATTGGAACAATCGTTGAATCGTATGGAATGTGGAGATGTTTCATTAATTGACAAGTTGACGGCTACAAAAATGGTGATTCTACTCTGAACATTTTTATTTAAGCAATTATTAGGATGATTTAACGGTGATATTTTACTAATCTTAAGTAATTTCATTATTTACTCCGTTGTCCATAGTTTATAACTCTTAAAGAGAGCTGCTATTGAATTTCGAAAATAATTGCAAAAAAATAGTAGCATTTTTATTTTTTCTTATGTTGATAAGATTTCCTAAAGTTTAATTTTTGCAGTCAAGCAGGCTAGCCTTTTATTTGCAGGAGATCCGAAACGCAATCAGTGAAGCATTCAAAATACCTGAAATCATTGCAATGTTTGGAGAAAAAGATCATGATTTACTTGATCGTAAATTTTTTCAGTTTTAAAAATTTTATTCTACTTTGGAACTATGTCTAATCTTGAAGAATTAAATGTTATGAAACTTCTTTTATTAGAAGATAAGAGGTTGAATGTGTTGTTGATATATTGGTAGTTCGACATATATTTTTAGATGAAAAGTGAACATCATAAGGATATCTAAAGGAGTGCAGAAGAGTGAAATGGTGAGAATTTAGAGTGCTTTGTTCAAGTTCAGTGGCTAGTTACCAGACGAGAAACCTCATGAAGATGCTTGTGAAGTTTACCAAACTCATTTAAAATTAGTTTCTGTTTGTTTAACTCATGGCGAAACATCATTTATATTTTCTAGTCCTGTTATGTAAACTTTATTAATTCTAGTCTCGGTTGAGTTTTCAGATGTGCGACATTTGCTATCGGCATATATTCGGTTAACATGAATTAGTTATCGTAAATTAAAGTATTTGAAACTTTTTTTCCAAGAAAAGTTGTTCGAAGTGTTTGTTTGGAACAGAGCAATTTTAATCGTAATTAAATAGTCCAAATATATGCATCCGAAACATAAGCCTTTGTGTTTCTATTAGTTAGTGTGAAAAAGCTTGAACTTCACGCTTTATATTTTTGTGCAGTATTGTACCTTCTGAACGTGAATCTTTTTTCATGAAATAAATTTTTGACGTGCTGAATATTTTATTAATTAATATCGTTAGTATTGTGTACAGTAATGTGTAAGTAGAATATAGTTGCACTTTTGAATAAATCATTGATGTGTTGTGGGCTCATACATGGTTTGGTTTTTTCACTTAATGAGGTTCAATGATTGCATCTTTTAAAAAGTTCATGAATATCCGAATGGAATTAGCAAGAGCATCTATTGAAATATTATGTCATAATAGTAAGGATTTGACTAGTTTTTTGAGAATGTTGAAGTAAAGCCAATTTCTAGCAGATAATGAGATATCACAGAAGCAGGAATATTGGCATGAATTGTTTCTTATTATTTCTCTTTTCAGTTTCGTTAATGCAACACTCATAAAAGTTATATTTTGAAGAAGTGAATAATCGAGTATAATTATTTCCGATACAATTATATGGGCAAATAAAGTAGGTACATGTAATGCAGCAACAGTTTATGATTGCATGTACTCAGTAATAATTATGTACACTTTTTAGTTTTATTCAGTATTTTGTCAAATCAAATCAAAGTGCTTTCGATTATCATGATACTAAAGTATATATATATGTACTTATTTATACTTATTTATACTTACTATTTAGCCTCCTACACAATTACTAAAAAACTAGTGCAAAAGTGTATATTTTTCTAAGACGGATCGATTCTGAAAATCTCTCTCAGGCAAGAAAGAAGTAGAAAGTAAGCCTTTCATCAAATATTTCCATCTGTTTTTCTAGCCAAGATTAGATCAGTCTAGCCAAGGATGCATCCTCTAGCACATACTACAAGCCGTTACCTCCCCCGCACCCACTGCTCCCAGTACTTTTCTCCGCTCTTTCCCTGCAACCTTTAACAATAAGCCTCACTGCTAGTATAGCTTAGCTATCCATCCAA